TCAATCCCCCTGCTATGTGCAGGGTTGCCAACCAGGCTGCCCAGAGCCACATCCAGCCTGGCCTTGAATGCCTCCACGGGCAGGGCATATCCTGCCCAATAGACCTGTAACTACTGAGGGTGAAGAAAGTGGTGTGATTCTCTTGCACCTCTCTGGAGGAGACACCAATGGCAAACACAGTGTGATGGCAGAGAAATTGGAAAGAATTGCACAAAGGCTTTACTTGGTTTTTCCAGGGTGGAAGAAGCAGGAGGCATATGTGCTTATGATGAAGGCAGAACATTTTCATTACTGATAAGATACAGCAAAACATAACTTACACTGTCTATTCCAGGATAGACAATAGGCTCCAAACCCTCATCTTTAGCATCTTTCTGTATGAATCCTTCCCGTTCAAGCATGTTTCTCCTCTTTCAGTGCCCTTCTTTAAAAAGTTCTTTCTATATTTTTGCATAGGATATAATTGGTTGTCAAATACTCCTCAAGTACTCCGTATTCTTTCACTGGATATCAACTTTTTAAGTCTATCCCCAAATATTTGCTCAGATGAACCATTACTTGGGAGAGATTCTAGATAGTTCATAGAAAGTTGCTGCTGCTACTGATAGCAAAAACAAGAATGTAAGACTGTTCTACATATTTACTCAAGGGTAGTTCTCCAATTCATGTCATATGTGGCCAGGTCAGGAGAGAGGAATTTGGTCTGGATTTTCTCTTTTCATTTGAACTAATTTGGATTTATTATACAGAATTGAGTATTGAAGCCTGCAAGTCTATCAGAGCATCAAAAATCTACCATATAAAGTAAAAACTGAATACATTTTGCATCTTGGAATATCAGACTTTTGGATTTCAAGCTTTTTCATTTATATCTAACACAGTATGTCACTGATACTCTACAGACAGCCAATAACAGGATCCAGAAAACCTGGAGAAGAAACCAGGAAATACTGCTCTCCAGGCTCCAAGAAATAAGTACTAACTGAAGAGAATAACAGAAGAAACAAGAAAGAGTTTGAAGAATGCACTTAACCTAAATTCTAATTTGATGACTGTTTGCTTCCCCTGTATTTCAGACAGCAGATTTATCTTAATTAAAAAAAAAAAAAAAAAAAGCCTCTTGAAATGTTCATTTTAAAGTAAAGCAAAAAGCAAATAGGCTGCAGGACATAAATTAACCCCACTCCCCCAAATTAGCTTGTTTTTCTGCTTGTTGAGTATCATTTCAGATTTATTTGCTATGGAACCAATTCAACAAAATACTTGAGTGCATGGATAGCTTTGATCATGCAAGCAGTCCCGTTGAGAGCATTCATATCCTTAAATATATGGACACAGTTAAATAGTTTGCTGAATCCAGACCTACTTTATTTCTTCTCAAGAAAGGATTTGTAGAGACGGAGTTGTTTTATTCTGACCACGAGGAGCTTACTGCAATTGCACGGTACTGAAGGCTGTGCTGATTGCTTGGAGCTGCTCATATAGAGCTGTTTCTGTTCTGAGTGAGCTTGATTTATATTCAGGATTAAATTTAAAGAGCCCAATGAGAAACTGGATTTCTCAAGGTGAAATGACAGTGGAAAGGGCAGTGCTAACAGAAGATCAGATCAAGAAAAGGAGGAAATTAAGGAACCTCAGGAACATTCTCTTCCTGGTTTTGGTCAAAAAAACATAATTCTTGGAAAGCTTACATAACCAAAAAGCATGTGGGCCTATTTTCTCCCTTTTGTCATCATTAAGAACATGTGTGCAAGACTCTGTGTGCATACCTGTGTAGTACAAGGAGTTTGGTGTGTGACACTCAATGCCAGCATTGACAGCACCTTTTACTACTTGCCCAGGATTCTTTAATTACTCTTAGATAAACAGGTAGTAGGATCTTTATGAGGAAACTGTCTCCAAATACATCAAGCAGTGATCTAGATCATAAAAAGAAATATCTCTGGCTAGGTCTGTGGCATTTCCACAAAAATGTAAGGACGTGCCTGAGTTTTTTACTGATTTAAGAGCCTACACCTTTCTCAGCAACGTACAAAGGAAGGAGTGAATCAAGGTGAATAAAACACAGCTTACTGAGGAATATAGATAATGTAATTAAGTTAGGAAGTGATTGGGGTAGCATTGGTTCCCAGGAAGAGACATCCCACAGCAGCACAGTCTTACCCTCAGATGGTTTAATTTAGCACCCCTCTACCATACCTTCCTCACACAATTCCTAGGGAAACAGGCACTTGTTCTTTCAGTATGGCTCAGAGAGCAACTAGGCTGCTATGTTACGTAGTGGAGGAATTTATACAATCCAGCCTTGTTTTATGGCTGGATTTGAGGCCGACTCCCGCTCCCTCTGTTGTCCCCATCCCCCTGTCCCCCTCTTTTTTTTTTCCTTTTTAATGGCCATTGTCATCTTCACTGTTGGAGCTGGCCTTGATCAAATGCCACATGATTACACAGTCCCAACGATACAACCAATTCTCTCTATTTTTACAACATCTCACCTTTCCAAGGAGTTCAATTTTTAATGTGAAAAATCACACATGACATTGTATTTGATGCCCTTTCTGGACATACTGGTTTAAACAACCTGTGCAAAAAGTGTCCTGAAAATTTCATGTACACTATTTTGAAGAAGCAGAAATGTGTCACCTTTAGTGCCCTTAAAACCTAAATTACACGAGGGAAGGAGGGGAATGAAGACATTAGAATATTTGAAATGTCAGCGCTCTTTCTAGCTACAAAAACTGACACAACCAGCAAGTGAAACACCCAGCCAATACCGAGCATAAACATTTTTTATACCTTTTTACATATGCTCTGAACGTCTTCACCAAGAGCCTCTTAATTACTGCCATGAATTTCTCCTCTATAGCAGGGTGATTTTCTCCCCTAAATTCAAACTTTTTGACAGGAAATTAGATAGCAAGTGCATGAAAACTGTTTGATAGGCTGCGAAGCTAATCAGAAAGCTCCCTTTCAATATCAAATTGGGTGTTTGATGTTCTGCGAACACCTGGAGTGGTAAACAATACAATCCCAATGACTTATCAAGTACTTGTTTTCAGTAAACCATTAACTTGTTGAAAAAGGCTTTTTTCCTTCCAACAATAATCGGTTTCTTAGATCGCTATCCTTCCTTCGTAGGAGCTCCTGAGGAGGCTGGATTTTGAGAAAGGATCTTACAGGAGTTTTACAGCTTCTATTGTGTTTACTGGCTTAAAGAAAAAAAGGAAGTGGCAGTGCTATGAGTGCAGCACTTCTCAGGAGCTTTACAAGAATATTTGGCTAAACATTTGCAACAAGCAGTCTGTCTGGAAAATGCAGCCCTTTTTCGTGCTAGTAAATTATCTGGCAGCAATCTTTATTAATAGCCTTGAAAGAAGAAATGCTTAGTGCAAGCTAATCTCATCTTGCAGACTGCAGGAAAACTGGTCACCCAGTGCATTGCTGGAGGCATCCCTTTTCCTGTTTCATAAGGTTGACGTATTCGCAGTGCTGCCCTCTTCTTTTGGGGGACAGCAACGGGGCTCCGGCATGGAGCTGTGTCAGGGGAGGGGCAGCCGGGGGTTAGGGACAGGATCTGCACCACACGGCGATGGACACGGAACGGGCTGCCTAGGGCAGTGGGCACGGCCCCAAGTGCTGGAGTTCAAAGAGTTTTTGGACACTGCTTTCAGCCATAGGGTTTGATGTTTGTGTGATCCTGTGTCGAGCCAGGAGTTGGACTCAGGGACCTTTGTGGATCCCTTCAAACTTGGGATAGTCTACGATTCAAGGTGTATACACAGCTGACCATGCAGACCACCAGCTCCTGGACTGATTCACCTTATCTCTGCTATTCCTTCTTACTCATACCTCATTACATGTGCCTTTGGCTGTCTACAAAAACTAGTGGCCAGCTCCTCCTGTCTAAGCCAGCACAAGAAGGCTCAGAGGCATGTCAGGCATAGAAGTTACATCCTTCTGTGCCCCAAAAACTTTCTCAGCAGGAACTTTTTGTCTTGCCAGGTGTGCTTACAACAAATATGCTCAGTAGTAGGGTGTGTACTTAGTAGTAGTAGTTAGGATGTGATCATAACCCAAGATCCAGATCCACGGGTGGACAACCATCATTAGATAGTGGTAACCAAAACAGCAGAAAGAGTTCTGAGAGACTCCATCACAAACCATCAACGTGATGTGCTACAGGGGTGGGAGGGCAAAGGCCTGGCCCTGGGAAAAGCTGGGCAGCACTGCTGTGGGAGAGGCGGAAAACACCCGTGAATCATTTTGTTTCTTTTCATCTTAGGAACAGTCATCTTCCTATCCCAAGCTGTACAAACACACAACTGATTAAAAGTTCTTGCTCAAAACTTGGTGCCAAAAATAGCCTCTCGCATAAGATTCTTCGCTGCTCTGTGTTGTTATTTTATTTTATTTTTTTTCCGGGGAATTTTCCGTCATCAAAAGCCCAGGGCAGAAACAATAGCAAGCACTGCCTGCCGGCTTCCAGTTAAAAATAAGCAACAAAGGCATTCCTGCTTCTTCCAGAAACAATAGGAAAATCTCGACGATTAAAGAAAAATAAGAGAAAGAGAGAGAGAGAGATTGGAGGGAGAGACACGCGGCTCAGCCGGGGGCTCAGCTCGGCCAACCCCCCGAGCCGGAGCGCGCCGGGCGCCGGTGCCGTGCGTGCCGGGCCGCGCCGTTCGGCGGGGCTGCAGCGCCTCTCTCCCTGACAGGCTGCGGCTGCCTGCCCGCCCCCGGGCCGGGAGCGTCGGCGGCGGGGGGCAGCGGGCGGCTGCGGCTTTAAGAGCTCCCACAATGCCGTGCTGGCGTCCCAGTTCCGTTACATGTCTCTCCCGGTGAAGGGGAGCTAGGCAGAGGCAGGAAGGAGGCGGGGGCGGTCGCCGCTCGGCGTGGGGGACAGCCGCGCGCCCACCTACCCGCTCGGCGGGCCCGGGGGAGGAGCGGCGCCGCCGCCGTCGGCGCCCGGAGGGCAGAGCCGAGCCGAGCCCCCGGGCGCTGCGCCCCGGGCCGGCCGCGCCGCCCCCCGCGGGGCACAGGCGCGAGGCGGAGCCGGCGGCAGCCGGAGCCGTTGGCGCTGCCCGCAGCCGCCGCGGGACGGCCGCCGGAGCGGTAAGTCGGGTCCCGCCGCTCCTCGGGCTCCGCGTGCCGGGGTTCGGCGGGTCCTCAGCCCGCCGCCCTCTCCGCCCCTCTGCCGCCAACTTTCTCGCTGTCGTTGCCTGCTGCTCCCCGCTCCCCTCGCTTTTTTTCCGCTTTGGCTGTTCTTCTCAGTCTGCCGTGCCTTCCCGTCACGCTCCCTCTGTGCCTTGGTTCTTTCCTTCGCTCCCCGTCCGTTCCCTGCCCGGCGCTGGGGCTTTGCTTTCCTTCGAGCGCCGCGTTGAGAGGTGCGGGCTGTTTTCTGCGTCCTTGGGAAGAGACTTGAGCACCGACTTCTCCTCGCACCCTTCCCGCTGCGGGTGCTCTCATCCTTCCTCGTGCTGTCCCCAGCAAGAGGGTCTCGCTTTCCTGTCTGAATTTCTGCGACGTGGACCGTTTGGTTTCGGTCTCTTTCTCCCTTCCTCTCCAGGCAGTGACGACTCGTTCCGTGATTAATCGCTCATTCCCGTCCCGACCTCTCCTCCTTTCTTCGCTCCCCACAGCGAGCAAAACTAAAAGAAAAGCTGCGGGAGCGCTTGAGGTTCTGTTTTATCTGTGGTGGGCGAGAGACGCTGAGAAAAGCTGGGGCAGGAGCAGTGCAGCAGGACGAGCAAGAGGCAGAACTTTGCAGGGCAGAAGATGGATCCCACGCTGTGGTTTGCACAGCCCTGAAGCGTGGCTGTGATGATCCAGGACCTGGATGAGCTGGGGTGGCCTGTCCCTGCTCAACGATGGGCTGCGTCCTTATGCCAGCAGCACAACACTGCTGGTGGGCTTTGTTGGTACGGGAGATGAGAGCAGAAGGAACGCGATGGGTTCCAGTGTCCTCTCTGGAATTGCACCTGTCGCCCATCGTGTCCTGAAGCTGTGGATGTGTTAGAGCTTGGCAGATTAACACCTTAGCTGGGACTGTACAGAGCGGTGTTGGTGCTGTAGCATGCCTTGGGAAGGCTGTGCTTGCTGAGACACCTGCTTGCAGGGCTTTGGTGCTCATAAGTAATAGGGTAGGTGGTGGTGTGGTTGTGTTGGGTGCTGTGGAAGTGAAGCCTGGCTGGTGGGTTCGGTAAAGAATGTGTAATTTAGGAAGATAAGGTCAGCTCCTTTGGTCTGAATGGAGAACGGTGGCGCATGGCTGCGCTATTACTTCTTGATAGATTCTGCTCCTTAAGACCATAGATTTACCTGGTTCAAGATGAAGCCCTGTTTGTCTCTCTCTTCTTCTGAAGAAGGGAGAAGCTACAATTTCTTACTGAACTTTGTTTAATTATAGCTAATAATAAAACAGGCCGGGGATTGAAGCATTTATTTTTATGTTAGTGATTCCTTGTGTATCCAGTGACTCTTTGGCTTAGGGGAGCGGAAATGACTGCTTGTCACTGTGGTGTTCAGCTGTGTGCCCTGTACAGCAACAGTGAGGCTCAGATTCACTTCTTACACTCGTGTAACTTCTTTCTTTCCCACCACCATAAACCTAACGGAACCTGACCACAGTTATGTGATTTCTTCTTGATCTTTCCTGGGGGTGAGAAACTTTGTAATCAGGGGGAATAGATGGGGGTAAATTAACCAAGTATGGTTAGTGAGAATCTTGAAAAGTTGTGAGGAGAGCCAAGGACCACGGGTCCTGTTCCTGCCTCTGCCATGGAACGGCAGTGTGACCTTTACTGAAGCAGTTGTCTTAGCTCTGCCTTATAGGACATGGAGACTTTCAGAATAACTGAAGTACTCTTTCACATAATTTTTATGGATAATTCTGTGCAAATGCATTGCTCTGTTTGGTTGTGATTTGGAATGCTTGTCAGGTGGTGGTTATTCTTGTGCTAATATTTGTTCTTAGGAAGCTGTAAAGCGGAACTTCTGATAATAGGTATTTATTTTGAATGACAGTGCACCAGATTTTGTATTGCTGTCGCAGTTTTGAGACTGAAGTTCTTTTTACCCCCTTTATACTTTGAGAATATTGGGTGCTTCTTCTGTGATACCTTGTTGGGGTGTGAATTTGCTCATTACTTCTCGGAAAAGAAACCCCATGAGATTTAATTGCAGGCTGGAGAATGGGCCGGGACCCCCCTCAGTGGGATGCATGCACTCTTGGCTGTTTCTTGAGCTCTGTAATTAAGAGATTGGCTTAGTAAGTGGGCTTTTTGTTTGTTTTCTAATTCTAGGTCTTTGCCGAGATTCTTAAGTCTTTAAGATCTCTATCTTGAAATTAAATGTAAATGCTGTGTGGTTTTCTGGGGCTTTCTTGAAATGTTGGATCTTACAGCTCTCAAGCCGGGACCTTACAGCATAGCATGACACACTGTGATCTCAGTGCTTGCCTTCCTGTGCCGTTTGAGGTTTGCAGCCTTTGTAAACAACAGGCTAGATCCTGCTGGAAGTGGTTCTCTGCTGTGAATGAGAGGCTTTTCTGTAGGAACTTGCTGTTTTGCAGCAGTGGGTACAAGTTGCTGTCTTCTTGCCTGTGTCTATGTGAACTCCTTGCTGTTGCCGTTTAGGCAGGCAGTCTGTCTCCGTGTTCAGTTCCGCAATTACCTGATTTCTTTTCATCCTTCATAACCCCCTTCTAAGTGTGTACTGATCTCTCAGCTCCAACAAGCATAGTTTTGCTGGCCAATTACAGCATACTGACGTTGTTTTCTGTGTTTACAATATTTTATCTTTATTTTCATTGTTGAGATGTTTGTATGGCACCTTTATCTGTACTGATACAACATGGGGAGGGGGGAGAATTGCCTGTGTGTGCCAAGCTGAGCAATACTCCTACTTGCCCCAACTTCTTACTTAACAAGTTGAGATTGGAGCCATTATGCTGCCTCGGGAAGGAGGATGGTTTTGAGCTGTACCTTACAGTTCCTTGTCACAGGGATTGCAGGCTAGGCCCCTCTTGCTGTTACTCTTGCTCAGTCTCAATAAGCATCAAGTTATCTTTGTGATAATGTAAATATGGAGATGGGAGAATATATCTGGGAGGAGACGAGGAGATTTGTGCTGTAAGTCTTCAGAATGGGGAGGCACTTAAGAAACCTGCTTCATTTACCTTTTTGCTTGGAGTTACTACTTAAAGGGGGGAGGAATCTGTTTTCTTTCCTACCGTGCTTGGAGAAAGGGCTTATAGACAACAAAGAACATTGCAATGCTTTCCAATAGTCCAGGATTATTGAACAAAAGTGTCTTGCTGTGCAATATTGCTGCTGTGCTCAGTGTTGTATGATAACACATGTTTCTCAGCTGTTGTTGATTCCTCAGTGGCGCAGACTTCAAAAGAATGTGCTGAAAGAGAGCCGTGGCCAAGAGAGAAAAGAAGTTTTGTTCCAGTGACCTGTACCATCCATCCACTTAAATACTTTGTGGAGCTATTCCAGAGCGTTCAGGAATCCAGTGAAGGCCAGCGAGTGATTACAGCTGGAAATGGAGTCTGCTACAAAGAGATCACCCAGCGAGCACTTAAATGCCACCTTCCCCTCTAACCCCCTGCCATCCTGGCTGGCAGGAGCGGATAAGGCTCATCGTTTAGGGTATCTTTCAGCATGACATTGTCTAACTCCTAATGCTGTTGGGATTTATTTATTTTTACTCTCTATGCTATCTTTAGCACAAGAATAGTAATGAGGACAGAAGGTCATCTCTGCGGTTTCCTTCTGAGTGTGACAAACTAAGTCTGTAATCTAAACGAGTAAATACAGGTTATTAGCAAGTTCTTTATTGTTGAAATACATGGGATATTTAACAGAATATGCAGGTGTTTGCAGAGTTAGCATAATTCATTGCTGAATTACTGGTGAAGTCACCTGTCTTAATATTGAAGTTAATTATATTGTACTGTGTCAAATTGAGTTTGGGAAGCATTCCATAGTTCAACCTATGATAGCAGGTCATAATAATAAAAGTCAAATTGCGTACACAGGCGTGTGTGTTATGATGCAGTAGTATGGTGCTAATGCCAAGTATTATAATTGATTTTCCTTAAATTCTTATGTTGGAGTCCACTGTGCAAGATGGATGTCAGTGCACAGATCTAACAGATCTTAAAATCATGCCCTGTGTTTTTAGTAGTCTCAGATACTGGGAGTCAGGGAAATCTTACCAGAGGGACTATTGGGGGCACGATGTAGTGGAGAGTTGTTAGAGTTAAGGTAGTATGGTTTGGATGCTGTTGGACTTGATGATCCTTAAGATCTTTTCTAACATGAGCTATTCTGTGATCATGAACTTCTGAATATCCTTGTCATTTTTTCTTTGTGGGGCTACCATGCATTTGAGGAGTGGGGCTATTACCTCATCAACAGTACTATACATTTCAGTTAAGAGTATTTTCCTTCATAATGGGTGGAAAGTGGTCATACAGATGCACTGAGAGGACACTTATGTTTTGAGGAGAAAAAAAAAAAAAAAGGTGCTTTAGTAGTTGGTTTTTCATCAGCAAGCAAATGGCATAACTCTAAAGGTGAGCTCAAATGTTGTCCTCTGCTATAGTGTTGCTCATTTGTACTGTGATGTAATACTTCTGTTTTTGAGAGGGTAGTTCTTCCTCCCAGTGTTAGCAGTCATGATTTTTTGGTGCTTTGAGATGTCAGGTTTTAATGCCTTACTACCTCTTTGAGAGGAAAGGGGAGGGAGGTTTTAGACATGTGTAATGTAACTGACTTCCATCCAGCTTTTGCCCTTGCTCCAGGGCTGAGGCTGCAGTTTGAATTCATTTATTGCCTTTGAAGGCTGTACTAGGTGTAACCTTGTGTCTCATTCCCCTTACTGCAACAGTACCTGATGTATTTCAAGCGTGCACTTCACTGCATCTCTGGGTTTTAAAATGGCGAGGCAGTGTTGGTGCTTGCTTCATTGCAAGTTTCTTTTTAGTCTTGGGATCTGTCACTTCCTCTTGTTTCAACTGAATGGAAAGCTTTTTGCTGGAAGACTTTTGGACTCCTGAAGTGTTTGACAACATTTTCAAGCTGTTGTTCAATGGAGGCTTGGAG